TCACTCATCCTGTGAGTGGACACACCGCCATAGTGACAGTATTGGGCAGCGCCACCCATCCTGTGAGTGGACACACCGCCATAGTGACAGTATTGGGCAGCGCCACCCATCCTGTGAGTGGACACACCACCATAGTGACAGTATTGGGCAGCGCCACTCATCCTGTGAGTGGACACACCGCCATAGTGACAGTATTGGGCAGCGTCACTCATCCTGTGAGTGGACACACCGCCATAGTGACAGTATTGGGCAGCGTCACTCATCCTGTGAGTGGACACACCGCCATAGTGACAGTATTGGGCAGCGCCACTCATCCTGTGAGTGGACACACCGCCATAGTGACAGTATTGGGCAGCGCCACTCATCCTGTGAGTGGACACTCCGCCATAGCAGCATGTACAACACTCCCCAATAGGAAGAAAACCCGCTGGGTTCATCCTGTACGTTTCCTACTCTCTCGTGTCTGTTTATCAGCTTTCCTCTCAATAGTAAAATCGTTTTCATCCTGAACTCGGAGCTACTGACATCCACTTTTTGTACTTGGTTATTGATCGTTAATGTTTTGTGCAAAGTTGAGGTTTTATCCATAAAGAAGAGTAACAATGGGAATTCTATTCAAATTCATTTTCCAAATTTTCTTTCGGGGAGGTTTGGACCGATTGTTCTGGTCTGTTACCCGCGCATATTTGAATTTGGATTAGGCTGTGGTCAGAGTATGACGTATTTGAAAGCATTGTTTCCTAGCAGTTCATTATTTGTGCGAATAACATTCAAGTGTTTTATTTTCTTTTGTTTTAATCTTCAGGTTTATGGCGTTAAGGAATTTAGTTGTATGTGGTTATTTAGGCTGCCTGTCATTCTGGCATCTGTTTTCTATGTAGAAAATTTAATTAGCCGTGGAATTAATGCCGGCAGTTTTTAGGGATTTCTCTTATTATACCAAGTGTCTTTCCTAATAGCATTTTCAACATCTTTATAAACACAGAGTTCCAGGAATCTTGGCAGAGAGCCGAGTCCATAGACATACTGTCGGAGTTACACTTGTAACTTGAGTTACACTTTTGTAACTCGGACACTGTCAAAAGTGTAACTTTCGCAACTCTGACTGTGTTACACTGTCAAAAGTGTAACACAGTCCGAGTTACACTTTTGTAACATTTATATTTGTTTGACATTGTAGACCGGACTCGTGACCGACAAGAAAGGTTCTTGTGTAGTGACGGAGGTGGACCTGACCTAGCGACCATCAGGGCCAAGGTGCACATACACCGCCCACCTCATTCTTCGCCAGAATAATCATGTAGTTATTTTAGAACTTTATTATGCTCCCCATACCCATCTCGGTGGTGGAGAGGGTTAAAGAGGCACATAATGATGGCTTCAGGAACTGAAACCCATAGTTCATTTAGCTAAGCAAGTAACACTTTTAAGCTAATTACACATTTTTCAATACACTTATACAGCTGTAGTACAACATGTACCGTCTGAATATAACATGTACAGCTGGAATACAACATGAACAGCTGGAATACAACATGTACAGCTGGAATACAATATGTACAGCTGAAATACAGTATGTAGGGCTGGCCTCAGGCCGGGAACTCCCGGAGCCCCTCTCCAGATAAGTATTACAAGTATACGGCTGGGGGATTTGTGTACGGCTCGTATGGCTGAAATACAAATATATATACGGTTGAAATACAAGCGTGTTTGGTGTTGGGCTGAAATATATGCTTGCGTGAAGGATATAAGAGAGGGAAGTCTGCGGTGAGCTGGGACCAGAGGTGTGGAGCTGGGAAAGTGGCGTAGCACTGCTATACTCTGGAGAGGCGGACCCTGCCTGGCTTTGGGTGTTGGAGGGTGGGGCCGCTGGGATAATGTGGCCTGGTTGTTGACCCTCACGACCACACCCACCCACGCCCGCACCCCCTCCCCGCCCACTGACCGCCCACAGCTCCTCTACTGGCCCATAATCCCGCCTTTCTCCTCCACCCCACATAATACCCGGCCACGGAACCATAGCGCCCTCCCCTCCAGTTAAGGGGCGCCTCGCGTAACCCTCAGTTAATGACAATGTATGACAGGCAGTTAATGACCATGCATGACAGGCAGTTAATGACACAACACATTACCAACCGTTAAAAATTTGCAGCTGGCGTGTTTTAAGGAGTAGTAGCCTAATGGCAAGCTTTTCAAAAACACTATTAAACCAGTTATCAAATGTTCGGTGGGAGCCCGGCAAGATTTTCGAAAGATTTATTCTCTAGAATCGATACCCTAGAGTATATGAAGGAAAGTACAGTGTGTGTCTGAAACTAGCTATATCACACTTCAAGATCCCCATCACACAGGATGGTTAGTCATACAGGGTCATGTGATCAGTAGTCTGCACTGGCAAACTTTGGATGTATTACGAGGATATCATAAAAAACATGAGACTTAATAAGGCAATTGAAAAGCTCCAGGCACCTCATGCCAGCAGGTCTGAATGGTAAAACTCGGGCTGCAACTAAACTGTTCAACTCTACGGAAGCTGCCTGCCACCGTTCCATAAAAGTACTTTCAGATGTTTATTGTATTTTGAGCTTACTTGATATCATCTCGTGAGCTTGACTGTCCGCCTGGCTGATGGCTTCTGTGCTTGCGAAGACGTGTCTGACTGTTGAAAGAGCCAAACTTAACCCAACTAACTATATAAATTTAACTATATAGTTATGTTTATAACTATATAAACATTTATGAATACTGTACAATACATTTTCTCGTTTATGAACACAGCCTTTAAATTTGAAATTTGAATTTTCAAAGCTACCCAGGCTAGGCTGCGATAGTTTGAATATAGAAGTTGTCTGCAGGTAATGTACAATGTACATTATTGGCGCCACGAACCATATATCTTGTACGCGCATTTGACCATTTTTTTTTTAATTTAATTATTTGAAGTGAACCAAATATTTACCAATGGTTTTTAAATCCAACAGGAGCCCTGATGAGGCTTTGAACCTGCGCGCCACGCTGTTCCCAGCCTTGGTCCAGATTCACGAAAGCACTTACGAACGTGTATATCTTTCCTCAATCTTTGACAGCTTTAGTTACATTTATTAAACAGTTTACAAGCATGAAAACTTCCCAATCATCTGTTGTTATTGTTATAAACAGTCTCCTGGTGCTTCGCAGCTCATTAACTGTTTAATAATTGTAAACAACGCCGCCAAAGATTGAGAAAAGATGGACACGTTCGTAAGTGCTTGCGTAACTGCTTTCGTGAATCTGGCCCCTGGGTTTCAAGGCTCCTGTTGGATTTGTTCATCGACATATCACGTTAATGTGATTTCTCAGTGAAGAGTTTTTAATTTAAGAATTGTAATTAAAATGTTCCTTAGAACTCACAAGGCAAGTGTAAATATGCTGATTAAAAATAAGTTTTGAAACTGTGACGATCAAGAGGCTTAATTGGCCAATTAGGGGGATGCCGGTTGTGGGCGTCGACAACCATCATGGAGGCGGAAGTGGTGTGGGGAACAATGGCAGCTTATCTCTCTATAAACCCCTCTAGACTCTAAGTATATGCGGTTTTATCTTATCTAAATATCTGCTATTCTCTCTTATCTAAATGTCTGTTCTATCTTATTAAGTATCTGCTGCTGTTGTATCGTATCTATCTGTGGGTTTATCTTTTCTTAAATATCTGCCACTCTCCTAATATGTAAATGTTTTATTTGTGTGCTAGATAATGACCAGAACAGTAACCGGCTGTGCCCGGGTCTCCCCCTCTCCCCTTCCCTCCCGTCCCCTCATCAGAAAATGTAATATTATGGACAGATGAAAACTGCTAAATTACGGGAAACAAATCGCCGATTTCAAACTTCGTGAAAATCGCAGGGTGGCATTGGGGCCAATCCCGACTGGCCTATGACATTCCCATCCCCCCTGTGTGTCATCTTGGACAGTTGAGTGAGGCTAGCCCCACGCATCTGGCCTCCAAACATTTGACAGACTGGTAGACATTCTTTGTTATAGATATTCGTGGATGTGTGTTCAACTCACACATATATATACACACGCCTATATGTGTTACAGGGGCTATACACACGCCTATATGTGTTACAGGGGCTATACACACGCCTATATGTATTACAGGGGCTAGCATGGGCGTCTGAGCCCATTCTTCAAATAGTCTCAACTGACTTCTAAGCCATACTTCTTGCTCATTACACTTACAATAAAGATAGATTGATTTTATACGTAGCTGATTCGTAGAGATCATTACAGCTGTGGCTGGATTGAACAGGTGTTAATTTGAAAACTTATAACTTACATAAAGTGGTGATATTTCTATAGGCTAAGTATAACAGGTCTTCAGTAATATGCATTGTCCATGAATCACTAGTAAGTCCTTCCGTGCATCCTAATGGTTCACCTCAGTTTCTTGTTTCCAGCCATGTCCTCTCCTGTCTTGGTCCTCTTAAAGATTCGAGTCTACTTGATCAACGCCTCATAAAATCTTGTATGTTATGATCATGGCAACTCTCCCTTTTGGCTTTTTTAGTTATGTAAGGTTTAGTTTCCTTAAGAAATAACTTCAGCAGTGCCTCCTAATATTTTTCACAACAAATCAGTTGATTGTTCCCGTGTATTCACCTAGTTGTGTTTGCGGGGGTTGAGCTCTGGCTCTTTGGTCCCGCCTGTCAACCGTCAATCAACAGGTGTACAGGTTCCTGAGCCTACTGGGCTCTATCATATCTATACTTGAAACTGTGTATGGAGTCAGCCTCCACCACATCACCCCCTAATGCATTCCATTTGTCAACCACTCTGACACTAAAAAAGTTCTCTCTAATATGTGTGTGTGTGTGTGTGTGTGTGTGTGTGTGTGTGTGTGTGTGTGTGTGTGTGTGTGTGTGTGTGTGTGTGTGTGTATCAGGTGTCTCACCATAACAGTAATAAAACCCTGGTTCACTCGTGTCAAGATAATGAGTGTGCGTATTGTTGTGTTACAGGGAGACGGTGGGTGAGGACAACAATAACAACACGACCACCATCAGCACAGGCAGCTGCCTCAAAGCCAGACACAGACGAGGCACCGTCAGTGGCATCATAGGTGGCACCCTGGCCAGCGCCCTGGGCACTACCACCGCTGGAGGGCTCCGCAGGACCTCCGTCTCCGTCAAGAGGCCGCTTGACATCGTCCTACCCTGTCAAGAGATTCAGTATCTCGATATTTCTTACCAAAAGGTGTGTAGTAAGAGAGATTTCGAACCTGATCAGCTAGGTTGTTACTGTTTGTAGCCTGCTTACCAACTCATTATACCTTGATTAATTTTGCCAACCTGCAGACCTTTTCGATTTCTCCCTTGAAAACGTCAAACATCGATTGGATAATATAATTATCCACTCTATTTGTCTTCAAGTTCCATCATTTCTGCAAATTGTGTTTCACAAACAAAATAATATGGAGAATATGGTTATACCCAATAAGTCGTTATTTTAGACTTCTATCCTTTGTGAACAATGAGAATCATCTATATGGTTTATTTAAGCATGTCAATATAAGTACCATGTTTGTAACAAACCCTAACTCCTTCCTCTCAAGTTTGGACTTTTAGATAAATATATTTAACATTTACAATGCTATACTTAACAGATCTTTGGAATAAAACTATTACTTAGCCTACTTATAGGTAGGATATAAATCTTAACAGCCATATAGATAGTCATACTTCCTTCCCTAGCAGAGCATTGCCATGTTATCTTCACCAGTAAATTATTTATTATGGTTCCAGCAAAGCAAAGCAATTTAAGCATGCAGTATTATAAAAGGAACTCTTCTTACCCTCCACAATAGAGCACTGTGTCTCTGCACATCTCTGTGCCAGGTAAGTCCACTACGGGCTCACCATAGCCCGTGCTGCTTGACACTTTTGCTTCCCAGTAGCTGAATCTAAAACAGCAGCAACAAGAAACTGTCTCACTAACCCCCACCACCCACAGGTCCAGTACAGTCCCATCCCACGGAAGAAGATTGCCTACCACCACGTGCCATACAACTCCATCCCTTACTGCGATGTTCCATACTGCGGCACCGGAGAGAGACCCATCAAGAGGAAGCCTCTACAGAGGGCCCACTCCATTGCCGTCGCTGACCTCAGAGAACCAGAAGATTGTGAGTGGACGTCGTATAAACTAAGGTTGGTGCCCTTGACTTCTTTTGGTCTTTTGTTACACCTAAGACTGCTAATGAGACCTAATAAGACCTAATGTCAGTCCCAACCAGACTCCTGTATTATTATGATTATTATTAAGTAGTATTGACAGTTAGTATCGTAGTACAGTATTATCATTTTCGGGACTGAATATCAAGAATCTTATTAACCACCCATAACAAAATTTCAAATGTATTGAAAATGAAAACTGAAATGCAGAGATTTAATTAAAAAATTATATAGCCATTAATCTGCTGTCTAGTGGGCAAAGTACTGTATATGGCAGAATAGTGCATGGGGAAAGTATAGGAAATAACAGAAAGTTGTCAGTAATGAGCGTTAGTTTTTTTAAGATATTATTGCCTACCACAATAATATGGATCATGGAATATCATAATATGTCATAATATGCCATGGAATACCCCCCCAAAAAAAATAAAAAAAAAAGTTGCAAAGTGTACATGTGTACATGACTTCTGAAACTTTTAGAAAGTACATACAGTATATGACGCAGATAATAAGTTGAGAGTTGTCAACGATTTTGCCGGGTTCGAACCATGGGTAAGGCAGGTTGAATGGGCACCAATCTTGAACTATGTATTGGTATTCGCTCCTGTTCACCCAGTAGTAATTGGGGACCTGGTTATGAACTGATTGGCAGGTTGTGTTTGAAGGAAAACCAAGTAGGTAAAGCTCTTAAGCTTGCTACCAAAGTCAAAAGTCATCTGTTAATTTACCTACCTGTATAAGCAATAAAACAATAAGATAAAATTTAAGAATTAAAGTCACTGTAACAGCATGAACATGATAAATCAAGTTAAAAAAGCTAAACTGGGTGATCTGAGAAGCATGCATCGTCTTAGGTGAGAGTAAGAAATGGAAATGTGTAGAATGAACTGAGATTGTTTGACCAAGAGGAATGAATGAATGAAAAATATAACAGGAGAATGAGGCCAAGAGGGTGGGGAGAAGGGTATTTAATCTGAGTAGCTCAAGAGATGTGGTAGAAAACATGACTTTGTGGTCTTAGTTTGTAAAAAGGGAGCATTTTGTTTGCATGAGACAACATGAGAAGCACCCTACACCTAGTCTTATATAGCAGTGGAGTACTGTTGAGGATGACTGCTGGAGCATATTGGAGAGGATTCTCTGTATTGCTATGAAAGCTGAAAATGGGACATTAGTGCAGGGCTGGATTAAGACCTTTAGAAGCCCTGAGTACTGGAAAGATTATGGTACCCCCCCCCCCCACATACTGTATAAAAATAATAGTAAACCATAAAATACATATATTCTAATGAATAAATATCATTCGTATGAAAAAAAAGTACAGTATATTATTCCATAACATTCTTGCCTTAAGATACAGAACAATTTAACTTACATTAATCAATAATTTAATAATATAATTAACTTATATTAATCAAAGCAATATAATGTTTACTGGTACCTATTTATAACTTTATTTATACTATAAAAATATTTCCTCGGCATTTTTTAATTGCAAAAATCTTTGATCTTATTCTAAAAAATTAATCTGACACCACAAATGACGCTTGACAAGTACTGTACTCTAGTACTGAACACATTCTAATGCAAGCTGAGGTTGCTCCATGGATCATCCGGCAGTTACCAGATTCCAGTTTTGTTGTATTCCCAAGAATAAAATATACTATTAACCTTCTCAATGATTTAATTACAGTACGGTATAGTAATATTTTTTTAATTTATTGTGGAGGTGCCTTTTTATGGGCCCCCTGGTTCAACTGCAACATTGGACCATGATGCATTGTGAATCTGACACTGGAAAATAACTCTGTGGGGCCCTAAGAACGTGCTTATTTCACTCAATGGCTAATCCAGGGCTGCATTAGTACCTGACAGATGTGCATGTCATACAAAAATTGTAGCTTGTATGCTATATAAACATGATGTCAAAATAAACATTTTGCAATTATGTAAACACATAGTTCCCGTTAGGATAATTTCCAGACTTTCTCAGACTTCATTTTGTCATGGACAGGCAGCCTGTGTGTGTGTATATGTATGTATGTATGTATGTATGTATGTATGTATGTATGTGTGTGTGTGTGTGTGTGTGTGTGTGTGTGTGTGTGTGTGTGTGTGTGTGTGTGTGTGTGTGTGTATATATATATATATAACTAATATATATAACTAATATATATATATATATATATATATATATATATATATATATATATATACATAAGGCTTGTAGCAGAGTCCCCCCCCCCCCCCCCCTTCCCAAAGTCAACTACTGACCATTTCCTAGATGCAGCAACACAGCAGTTGCCTAACTCTCCGAATACCTATTTACTGCTAGGTGAACAGAGCCATTAGGTGAAAGAACACGTGCCCAACCTGGATACCTGATCCATGGTCAAGAATGAAGCCATCTATACTATGAGACCCCTTACTGCATTCCTAGACTCTTATTGTCAATATGATCAATAAGACAGGAAAACCGCTATATTTTATACAGTAAATCATCCCACAAATAGTTAATGATTAGTGTCATTTTATGTGAAATGTTAATAAATGTTTCATGTTACTATTAACATCATTATGTACAAATATCTTCACTGTATGAATAACACATATTCAACTTTAAGAGCTATATAAGCATCTTTCATATTACCCGAACTTGTTCTGTTCATGACTGAGAAAGCTCTTTTTTTTTTTTTCTCCTGCAACTTAGCCCAACATCAGGCTTCCCTATTAACTACCTGATCAGCCAGGTTGTTGATGATAGTGCCTCACAAACCAAATACCATTACACCCTAGCTAATAAAAAACGCTATTATTTTTAATTATTACATAATTATTTTAATTATTTACATAATTATTATATCAAATTCTTGTTAACGAGAAATATATCCTGCCTGTATTGTGGCAAGGCATTTCAGCTGTTTATAATATGTGTTGTCTTTGCAATTTGTGGCTAATATGTTTGTTCCTTTTTACTGTAGGTGAAGCAGTGTGTGACCGACCTGCAAAGACGGGTCATAGTGACAAGAATCTCAAGCAGGACCTTCAAGGAAGTGCAGGATGGTCTGGAGAGGACTAGTCCGGATGTTTTCATTTTCTATACCATGGAGGCCTCATTGTGAGGCCAGGAACTGGAAGATGTTCCACACCGGCTTCTACTTGTGCAGCAGTGGAGGCCACGTGTCCTGGAACTTTAGACAAAATAATGGGAGAAGGACAAATGAGTTCCACACATGTGGCAGAGCATGTGTCATGGACGAATACAGAATAGCGTTATGTAGCGAGGCCGAATTTGGGATCATCTGGACAGTCTTAAGTTGAGATTGCTAACTCTGACTATGACGGTGGATTAACGTTTGGTGCTTAAAATATATTAGTGAGAAAAACTATTACTGAGTGACTATGAAGTGTGCTTATTATTCAAATGTATTGTTGCTGAAATGCAAGTGAAAAAGAATTTTTAGTTTTCATTATTTTAAAATTTGTGCACTTTTTGCATCAGCAATGTGAAGTTATATAGACATCTGCACGCTTACCGCTTCTTATGTCAGTGAACTAAGAGACGTCGACCCAGATGTATTGACTTAGTTGTATAATGTAAAACGAACGAGTGATTCACAGTGCTATAAGTAGGATTTATGTGCGTGTGAATGTTACCAGTTTTTACCTTGTGTGTATATGACCATGTGTAAAGTTGTATAATTTTCAAAGTATCTTTTATACATTTTCCTTTCCTTGTAAATTGTTGTCATTATTATTATTATTATTTACTATTGTATTCTCTGCTGATGACTGACATCCCACCTTCAGTGTAGACTTCATAATACTTCTTGTCTTCGGTTGCATTAATTGTCAGTGTTTCTGAATGAAGATGACGTACTGTCTATAGTGTGAGTGTGATGGTTGTGTGCAGACTTGTGTCAAATTTGGAGTGATTAGCAAAGTGCTAATAATGATATTTCCTTCTGCATAAACCTTCTCCTTTATGCCTGTATTACCTTCATAATTACCATGTAATATTTATGTATGACAGGTTTTTATACTTTGTTATCGATAATGACAATACCTTATTTGGGTAAAGAATGAAAATGACTATTATATATTTTTTTGTGATGTGAAGAATTTTAAGATTAACAAATGGCCCAAGATGATAACGTTCAGACAAACACAAATTTGATAAACTACGTAAGAATCTAGATCCCAGAATCTAGATGAGTTTGGTATGAAAATGTACCACGAGGACAGAGTCGATCATAGAGAGTCGTGGTGCATTTAGTGGTGAGAATTGGCAAATCTGGACCTTACAGTGGAGTGATACAAATGAGGGATTTTTTTTTCAATAAATTGGAAGAGAACAGTGGCATAGATTGTCATGAAGAGAAAATATATCCAATTTAGCCAACACTTTGCTTATCCAGCAACAATATACCAAAAGCTTTATTTTCTATATTTGCTGTCAAGTTGAGAGCAGCCAGAACATGGGGGATAATTTAAGCACCTGCATTGTGCCTAGAGCAAATGTGTTAGGATAGACCAGATCATGGGCAAACAAAGTGTTGGTTGAATACCTTATGTTAATGTCTAGGCCTTTGCTCTCAGTACATAGCAGTACAGATATGTTCCACACCAAAGTCCACACAACCTTTTATATATAGATTATGTATATTTTTCCTGAACCAGTGATTTTCTCTTCTCCCTTTTTATAGACATGTCCACCTCAGGAATTTATAAATAAGTAACAGCATTGTTCAAGTGTACCATTTATATTTTTTCCCCAAACTTGCATAATTTCAAAACGGCCACTGTCGGAAAGGGCAGTGGTCAGGGTGCCGGCGCAGAGGCCAGTCGACGCCACAAGTCATTCATCTAGTTGTATAATTATATGTTGTATATGAAACTGTGCCTTTTATTACCTTTTCTCTCTGAAATATTTGTTAGCTTGAGTATTATTGTATTAGGCTGATGCCTCGTTTTGTCTGAGTTAGATTATCCTACTAAGCTGAAAGATGATATCTAGTTGGCAACTGGAAAGTGTTCTTATATGAATGTGCTTGCAGTATTGAAAATCAGTTCCTAAAATACACATTTCAAACCATTGGTAGTTTAATGCAATGACTATTCTTTTACTTTTCCTATCATATTTATATTTCAAAATTTGCATTGAGTTAGCTTTTACACTTTCTTCATAAAATCCATTACTACACTCATTACCGTCTCTAGTTCCCTGTGCGTCCCTCTGATTGGAACGAAGGTAACTGCATATACAGTATACTGCATATACAGTATACTGCACAAGAATGGAAAGACATCAGGCCAGGTGATGTTTTGGTTTATGTTGATGACACTTAAATTATATTGATTTTGGCAATGGCAGAATTTTTTTTAAAATCCAATAATTGTTATGACTTTTTGTGGAATTTTCTTTAAATCCAATAATTGTTATGACTTTTTGTGGAATCAGACATTATATCATCAGTTTCAAATTTCAATATGTCTGTGTTTAATGTTACCAATATATGTGGTTAGGTTAAGGAAAACTTGTGGTCAGGTGAAGTAACATCACTCTGAGTGAGGGGTCTTAACCTGATATTCAGTCTTCCCCTCCCACTATAGCTGAAGATATCTTGTCATTATGACGAAAATCTACCATCATTAATGTTCTATAATTGTAGATTTTCTTTAACGTTTTGAATTACTGGAAAATGCACAATACAGTCTACCTTTACATAATACTGTAATTACATTCCTGGAAAATTTGCTATATAAACTGAATAACTCATGGTAAAAAATAAGGTTACATTCCCAGACATGACAAATTTGCTAAATGCAGGAATACCTTCATTTAGAGTAGTTTTGTTTTGTTGATGAGAAGAAAATAAGTAATCATTTAGAATAAATTTTATTGTACGTCTCAGCCATTGAAAAGTAAAGGTGCAAAGGTTACATGTTGAGTCAATTCTATCAACATTTGGACCCATGAAACTTTTCAGCACTCACTCTATACAAGAGGGTCATAAATAGCCGATCTTTCATGGTGTTCAAACGAGACGTTGTTAAACACCTTCAAAGTATACCCGATTAACTTAGTGTATGGTTCAAACTTCAAGACTGCGAGCAGTGGCGTCTACAGCCTGGTTGACCAGACGGCGTGGTCAGGATCGGCTGCGAGAACATTGATCACCAGAACCATCTACAAGTAAGGTCAGGCAGTTCACACACACACATACATGACGTTGACCAGACCACACACTAGAAGGTGAAGGGATGACGACGTTTCGGTCCGTCCTGGACCATTCTCGAAACGGACCATCGTGCCAAAACGTCGTCGTCCCTTCACCTTCTAGTGTGTGGTCTGGTCAACATTCTTCAGCCACGTTATTGTGTCTCATCGCCTGCACACACATGACCTGTGGTGGTATCAAGCAGGTGACCTGTGGCACAGTGCTCAGTGTTGAGGCTATACATCTGGGAAGGTGCCAGATGCGATGCCTCGGCACGACATTAATGCTTATTTCCTTGCTCCTGATACACCAGTTCACCTGGCACAACAAAATTATACTGGAGTTAGGTAACTGTTGTAAGCTGCTTCCTGGGGAAGATGAGTTGTTGGCCTAGTGGGAGTTGGATATGCCTACAGGCTTCCTGTCCCCCAGTAGTGAGAAACCGTGACACATGCGACAGTAATGAGGTTATATATGGTATTAGTATTGTTTGTTGATCCTGTATTGTTGGTAAGAACATGAACTACTTACATCTGGGGAGGTTTTGCTTGAAATGATAGATTTTTTTCCCCCTTAAAAAGCATAAACAAATAAATACAGCTTTTCTATATTTATAAAAAGAACAATTACTCTGCAAATATTACCTAAAAATCGTAAAAGTTCAAAGATTTGCGAAAATAAGTATCAATTAAAATACCCAAATAAAAAAAGCCTAAATAAAAGATGTAAAAAGTAAAGAACAGAAAATATATATATATATACTAATTATAGTATAAAATAAGACGTAAGAAAATGCCTAACGACATACTTAAAGAATTAGTAAGTGAAGTCTGGTGTTAAATGAACAAATCCACAAGGGCCGTGACGAGGATTCGAACCTGCGTCAGAGATAATGAAGCAATGAATGAAGTTGGACGTCAGAGGAGTAGAGTCCGTGAGAGGGAGCGGACGGGTCGCGGCTCCTCGGGGGAGAACCTCTAGTCACAGGAGACTCACCATGCATCAGAGCAAAGGTACCACTTGCCTGTGCGGTGAGAGGTACACAGGTGCCCGCAGGTATGGTGTTTAATAAAGATGTTGTTGGTATGAAGGGGACTAAGCCACATGTGCAGTAGTTAAGGTACCGTGAGGTGCGACCGTTACAGTTTCCACATTTGAAAATGTAAACAACATCAGAGTCAAAGGGCAGTTGCCAGTATTGTATGATTTAGTGTTAAACTGAAAGCTAATTTGTGCAAAGTATTGTATGATTGTATGAGTATGTATGTAAGTATGATTAAGTATGCCAGTATTGTATGATTTAGTGTTAAACTGAAAGCTAATTTGTGCAAAGCTAATTTTTTAATACATTAGCTAACAGAACCCAAATACTGAAATTTTATATACAAATTTTTAGAGATTTAGTTGTGATTTTTACCCAAATATTAATTTGGTTCAAATTTCACCAGATCTACTGTTTTTATGTTGATTTAGGGTAACGGGTTAAAAAATATAAATTGAATATTTCAAAGTTTTACTTCATTGTTGCGTAAGGAGCCAGTTGCAACAATTGAGTTCCATCATATCCTAGCTTGCTAGCCCGTTCCGCCTTACAGCAGTTACAGTGATAACCTTAACTAATGAACAGTCTGATCCAGCGTGCCCACTTCAGCGGACAACTGTGTCAAATAATTCCCTTCGGGGATTCTTTGTCTCGTGAGCGATTTTCCGGACAGTTTTTGTAATCTTGCGTGTGAGGCTACGAGCCGGGTGGTGGCCGGGGCGGGGCGGGCCAGCCAGCCAGCTGGGTGGTGGCCGGGCCGGGCCGGGGCGGGGCGGGGCGGGGCGGGGCGGGTCAGCCAGCCAGCCAGCCATCCATCCATCCAGCCGGGTGGTAGCCGGGGCCATCCAGCCAGCCATCCATCCAGCCGGGTGGTAGCCGGGGCCATCCAGCCAGCCATCCAGCCGGGTGGTAGCCGGGGCCATCCAGCCGGGTGGTAGCCGGGGCCATCCAGCCAGCCATCCAGCCAGCCGGGTGATAGCCGGGGCCATCCATCCAGCCAGCCATCCAGCCAGCCAGCCGGGTGGTGGCCGGGGCGGGCCAGCCATCCAGCCAGCCAGCCAGCTGGGTGGTGGCCGGGGCCAGCCAGCTGGGTGGTGGCCGGGGCCAGCCAGCCAGCTATCCAGCCATCCAGCCGGGTGGTAGCCGGGGCCATCCAGCCAGCCATCCAGCCATCCAGCTGGGTGGTGGCCGGGGCCATCCAGCCAGCCGGGTGGTGGCGGTCCGTCTTCTCACTAACAAAGCCAAGGTAGAGCAATGAACCACTCAGGAACTGCCCCAAGCGTAACAAGCCTGGAGGCTCCCCAACGTTACTACTACCTCATCTCCAGGCCCATTACTCACACACTGCCGTAACAGCCAGGTTGATCCATCTCCAGCTTAAAACCGGCCGCTAGTCTATACGTGTCCAAATTTTCAGGCAAACCTACGAACAAAGATGTCAATACACGCAAGCTGGAAGACTTAGCCATTGTGAGAAGACATAGAACTCTCTAGAAGTCTCTAGAATTAGAAGACTCAAAATCTAGAAGACATAGGCAGACACAGACACGCAGACGCAGACACGCAGGACGCAGACACACTACATGGGGCAGTGTTTCCCCCAAATGCGGCACAGCCTAGAAACTGGGATCGTGGAGGGGTGGGGGTGGGTCTTGAGGGAGTAGGGAGGGGGACATTGACCTGAACAAGATAAAAGGAAAGGTGGGGGAGGGGCATCGTTGCCCCCCTACCCTCTCCCCCCCCGCCCCTACTACAGGAAGTAATAAATGTTATCTACAAACTCATCTCCCGACCCTCAGCATCACACATATTCAACCCTCTCCTACAAGAACATCCGGGGCCCTGACTCAGGTTTTGCATTATATATATATATATATATATATATATATATATATATATATATATATATATATATATATATATATATATATATATATATATATATATATATATATAAAATATGTCGTACCTAGTAGCCAGAACGCACTTCTCAGCTTACTATGCAAGGCCCGATTTGCCTAATAAGCAAAGTTTTCCTGAATTAATATATTTTCTCTAATTTTTTTCGTATGAAATGATAAAGCTACCCATTTCATTATGTATGAGGTCAATTTTTTTTTATTGGAGTTAAAATTAAAGTAGATATATGACCGAACCTAACCAACCCTACCTAACCTAACCTAACCTATCTTTATAGGTTAGGTTAGGTTAGGTAGCCGAAAAAGTTAGGTTAGGTAGGTTAGGTCGTCGAAAAAACATTATTTCATGAAAACTTGGCTTATTAGGCAAATCGGGCCTTGCATAGTAGGCTGAGAAGTGCGTTCTGGCTACTAGGTACGACATATATATATATATAATTATATATATAATTATATATATATATAATTATATATATATATAATTATATATATATATATATTTATATATATATATATATAATTATATTTTATTACATTATTATGATGATGAGAGAAGGTCGTGTGTGTTGCGTGCGACTATGGAAACGGACAGTGGGTGTGAGGACCTGATTGAAATTGAAATAAGATTATTGAGGTAAAATACACACCAAGGGATGAGGTAGCTCAAGCTATTCTCACCCCGTTCAGTACATCGTGTTAATACATACATAGACAC